GATGTAGCAGTAGCTTCAGCTCCACTCACTGGGATGATGACCGGTTGAGTTCCAGGGATGACCAGGTGCTGGGGTAGGCTGGTGTGATAGCTGAGATGTTGCTGGTGCCCTGTGCCGGCAATGTAACCAATGATGGGCTGCTGGGCAGAGTAGAAATTGGTGGAGGGGAGGCCCAGGGAGAGTGACTCTGTGGTGTTTTGTGTGGTCTGGATGACTGCATGAGGAGACAGTGTGGTAGCCACCCCCTTCAAACAGTTCACAGGTGGAGGGGGAGGAGGAAATGGGAGGGAGGCTGAGGAGGAGGAACTACGGGACACAGGTTTGCCTGCGCAAATCCCTCCTTTCTCAGAGTGGGATGTTAGGGGTGGCAGCTTGTCAGGTGTACCACCGGAGCTATGACTGTTGGGTACCAGCACCAACGAGGTCCGCATGGTTGCGCTTTCCTGCGCATATTCGGCAGGGAGCACCACATGCCGAGCCTCATAGTGACGTGGGCTCTGCTGCTGGTGGATCTGGTGCTGTTGAGTAGAGGAACCCCCTTTGGCAGTGCTGCCCTGCTTCCCTGCACTAGATTCGGGAGATGGACCAAAGCGTCTGTCCTTCTCTAGCTCTCCGTTCAGCACCTCCCTGGGCCTTGTCTCCTCCCTTTTGGGTATAGGTCCATCTGTGTACTGAACTAAGACTGGCGAGTGGCCACTGATGGGGAGCGTGTGGTGACAGTGTAAGTGTAGAGGCAAGTGAGTATGGGGGGACGGAGCAGTCCGAGGAGATACGCTTAGAGGAGAACCAGCAATTTGGATGTATTGGGTGGAGTGGGGCACAGAGGTGTTGTCAGTTGTGACCAGCCCTGTAGGACGGTCCAATTGGTGGTGCTGGTCAATTTTGGGTGCAGGACAACTGTAGATGCTGGAATAAGCCTCACGTTGTATGGTACTGGTGGCAGCCAAAGGGGGAACTAGAGGTGAGATGTAGCCAGCATATGGTGCAGGGTACGGAGAGCTGATGAAGTGAAGATTAGGAGCCAGGGGTGTGTACTGGATGGTGCCAGCATGCTGAGAGAGGGGTGACGTGTACACTGCAGGTATGGTGGTCACTGCAGTGGGAGATCTGGTTAAGTGCGTGGAGGAGGGATGTGTGCTCTCAGCTGTGGCTAACAATGGTTTGTACTGAGGCCCATCGGGCTCTGAGGAGGTGCTGGTGTGCTGCCGCCCTCTGTCATGTCCGCTTGCCAGACTGGCAAGCCAGGCCAGGTTCTCTGAACGCTGGCTCTCATTGGCAGGCGCCATCACCATGGGCCTCACCTCTGAGGGCAGAGTGCTTGCTGGGATTTCACGCTTCTTTGGGGGCAGGCATTCATTGCTCCTCTCCTGGTTTGACTTCATTGTGTCTGAGAATCTTGTACCACTCTTTCTGGATGTTTCTTCCCTGTCTTTTTTGGCTCTTTTCCTCTCCCTCTTGGTCTCTGTTTGTATTGCTAACAGAGTGTGCCGTCCCACTGACTGGCTCGGAGCAAGGATGGGGATGGGTTAGAGAGGAGAGTGGTGGTGTGAGGGGATGTATTCTGTGCCTAAGGTCGGATGGACACAGATTTCAGTTTTAAGCAATGGAAGTCACACCTGCTGTGGGAGAGCGGTCCATGCAATTCATGTGGAATCATTTCCCTTTGAGAGTGAGTCTCCAGGACTGCAGGAAGAACCTGAAAAATAAACACATGCGTCATTAAGGTTATTTCTGTTTTGGAAACGGCTCAATGGAAAGAAGTCATATAAACTCTGACAAGACACTTCAAAGTGAAAGGCTAGTTCAGTGCATTCAATAGCTTTGTAAAATATCACTGTACATGTGATTGGGCATCAGTGTCAGTGGATAGCACTCATAGTTTGTGTGTGTTTGGAATATGAAAGTGGACCCCCTGTAGGGCGAGATGGAACACACATTGTGAGCATCATTAATAATGAACCAGCACTCTGCACTCAGGACTTATTTGAAGCCAGTAACACATTCACCCTCATGCAACACACAATCACAAATTAGACTGGAGGCTTATCTACTACAATGTGAAAACAAAGTGTGTTTCTATGGCATAATGAAGCTAGACTTGAATGGACAAAGTACTTCAGCACACAAGGCTTAAGTAACACCAAACAAAAA